TTTGCACTTCTTTTTGGAAGTTTTCCTTCTGTGTCCTTTTACACCACCCTTTGACCTCTATTTATAGTGAAGGACGGTGGGTTTAACCTGAGTTCAGCTGACCATGGTTGATCRGATATACCCCTGTTTTGACCAAGCTCAGTTCGGGTATTCCTTAGGTGTGATCAYATCGTGGTTAACGGTTGGAYCGGGCCTCTGGCAGCCCGCTGGGCCTCTGCTTCCTTTGGTGATCCGCGACTTGTGGTATGCTCAGAATGTTGGGCCGTAGGTCCGGGCCCAACAAGTTTCTGCGGCAAATACAGTTATAAGCGGATTCCCAACACAAACATAAATGCCAATGAATCAAATCTCTTTTCGGCACCAGAGAATTTGCTTTAGTCTGACAATTAGTTAAGGTCGGCCTTGGATCCATCCATACTCTCAAACACTAACATGAACCCACAATTTGTTTTAGCCATTTCTCCGATAAATCTCGAGCATAAAAAACATTCCTCCAAGTAAAAGAAGGCTCCCAATGACACGATCCGTTGAACTTTTAGAGTAATGTTGGTTGAAGCCGGACTATAACAACATGTCCTTTTCGGATCCATTATTGTAATCTTGTCTTAGATAAGTCACAACCTCTCCGCTCCTTCATTGAATATACCCACTTTATTTGATCTTGAGCTGCATGTCCTCGTTAACATTTGACTCAGAAATGATGGAGGACTTATACAAATTAATAATTTGGCCAATGCCTCCCCATAAACTGTTTAGTTCTTCATTAGCTTAGCACAATAGGAGGTTAGACTATGCGTACAAAAAATAAATTATGATTTATAAGAAAAACAACAATATTGGCTTATGGCGGATGAACACCAAAATGTTCGTTTACAAAGAAATCGCTTATTTACAAAAAAAAAAACAACCTGTATTCCCCAAACGGAATCTATAATCAAAACTCTTACTAGTTTTCTTTTTATGGCAACTCTTACTAGAGATTATGCAAGGCCCAACCAAATCTAACCCTTTTTTTTCTTCTTCTTTTTCAATTCCCGTGACCACGAGTTGTGTACCTACTACCAACTCCTTACGATAAGGTTCATATCATATATATGCTTCGCCAAACATAAACCTAATCACTCATTTCTAGTGTATCCGACCGTCGCAACCACCTAGTTGCATAACTTGGTTTATACAATGTATCCAGCCAAGCCACTGGTGAATTCAACAAACAGAACAAGCCATATATATATGTTCAGTAACATATTTTGCAGCAGCTGAGATATAATAGTAAAGAAAAACGAAAACACTCACGTCTCTAGAGGCTTGCGCTTGAAGGTAGTAAAACGACATGCAATGTTCCTTTATTAGGAGGAAGTTGCAAACGAAGAGGAAACAGCTTGCCGTTTAATGGACTGCGAGTGCACACCACGGCATCCTCCAAACACGTTTCTTCACGCAGTGTCTGTGTCAACTCTGTCACACTGTTTCCTTTAAACGTGAAAGCATATCCAACGGTTGTTTCGTCCTCCACGTGTCCTTCTTCGTCAGCAATATGGTAATGTATCGTTCTCCCATCAGATTTCGGTGGAGACTCAACTGACGACTGGTC